GAAAGAAACCATTGTTCAAAGTCTGCTGACTAAATTTCTATTTAATAGGCTTGCAAGGAAACTGAACTCTGAATGTATGAGATTTTCAAAAGATCTCAACTTATTTCCTGCTGCTGCTGCTGGAACAACATACCTTTGACTTTAGGTGCGGGGACTCCCATTTTCTAAAACATTTTGTGTGAACGAGACGGCATTTTGGCACATTCGCGTGGTCTTGTCTAGATAGATGACGTTTGCAGCACAGCTAGCAACAATAACATCAACAGATCGCTCTCAAACCGAGGTCAACGACCTGAGCGTATCCCCCACTCCTTCCTTCTCGTCAGTGTAAACCGCGCGCTTTTGGGGTCTTGAAAGTGTATCTAAAATAAAATATTCAAGCATTGGCCAGTGCAAAATCTTTCAGTTTTCAAAAGAATTGTATTTAGCGGTACCGTGAAATTACCGACGAGAAAATATATGTGTCCTTTTGTCCGACCCGTGACGCTCAGCCCGTCACTCTTCGGTAGTTGGCAGTAATGCAGAGAAGAACTTTTTAGCAGCAGTACACACCATACCTGTTTTGGCGGTTTTCGGAGTGCGAGCACATTATTCCAAGGTAGAATTTCGTTAAATCTAATCCTTGCCAAGATTGCAAAGTCGTTTTTCCCTTCCAAAACAATTTCCTTTTTAAAAAAATATTGTTAGGCAAAGAGGGCAAAGAAAAAATCATAGTACCCTCGTCTGGCTGTTGACCTATCCAACTAGATTTTTTACTTTAAATCTTAAATACTACCTCATTACATGGTGAAATTTAGCTGTTTCAATTCATTTAACATAAACCAACTTCCTACCTGTCATTTTTTTCATTGTATTCCAAGGTTAAGTCCGGTTAGGTTACTGTTTCTGTGGAGTGTAAGACTGAACCAACTGTACAATTTCCACTGAACTCTTTCTTTGCAGATGAATGCTACAGAAGCAGTTCTTGAGGACGCTAGAAGAAGGTTCAAGAAGGAAATTCTTCTGAAAACCAAGGAGGTGCATCTGATTGCCCTTGAATTGTGAGTCACAGTTTCTTTTGATTTATATGAACATTCAAGCATAGCTCATACTGCTGGTGAAATCTGCCAACTGTCTCTAGAAGTGTTGACAATACCACACTTTTCCCTTATAGGATTGACAACGCGTTGAAGGAGTATGAGTTTGTGGACCTGGACGAAACATTTTACGAACCCGCTGAGCTAGCTGCTGCTGCAGCTCTGGATCGTCCATTAGAGAGGTAAGAATTTTTTCAAATGCTTTGATGTCTTTATTTTATATCGGAAGGATGTATCCTGAAGTGACCAGATGCTTCACTATTGTATTGTAATGCTGAGCAAATGTTATTGTCATGGTCAGCTATCCATTAAGTTAACACTCCTATCCTATTTCAGAATTGGTGGGGATACTTCAAAGCCAGTTATGGACCATCATTTAGATGAGCAAGATTTAGCGCTAAAGGATCCTGGTCAGTTTAAAGTTAATTTTATTTCCTAGTCTTGACATCAGTAGAGGCAATTAAATTATAATGTATCTCACAATTGTGCTGTTTCTTTGATTAGTTGCTTCATCAGCTCCCAAAAAGCCATCAAATGATACTGATGTTGGTCACGTCTGTAAATTGCCCAGATGTTGGGAGCATCAACCTTTCCGTGGCACGGTAATAACATCT